CAAATTTGAAAGGAGTACCAAACTGATACATGTTATACAATCCAAAATCTAGACGAATATAGGATCTTATATGCACGAATAATACATTTAATGTATTTTTGTTCATGTTTTGATAAATGATATGTCAATGATTATTTACATGTTTTATATCATTTTATGTGCCGATAAGTTTGTGGGTTGACAAGAACACAACCCAAACATAAAAATGGGTAAATGCGACCATATCCCCTTGCTATCCCTAAAAGAGTCCACAATTAAAAAAAGAATAATGGAAAATACTCATAGAATGGATCAAATATGATTGTAGTTTCCATGAAACAAATCAGTAATGAATTTGGACGAGTTGGCGTCCTTGATCAGGAGAGACTGAACCATTCCATGAAATTGCACCAAGCTATACATAAATGCATTTGGTCTTGTTTGTGTCCGCAAGGGGATGAACATCTCATCGCAGCAAGTATTGACTTGCTAAGTTAGATTCACGAGGCCTACAAGTTCATATATAATAACTGCATCATATAAATAATTCGAAAAACATTAACACGTTATAAGCATGTGACGGTGTGAGTGACTATCGACAATTGATGCATTATGAGTTCCACTCGCATTAACGACAGAGAATCAAGTCACTAAGTGTCGGCAAGGCCCCAAGCTCTTCTCAAAGAGCTTCGTGTAATGCATGGGATGGGGTGGCACCAACCAACCCTAGCGCTTTGTACGTCCTGATAATCCAAAGAGGTCTCTGATGTTGTTCCTTCATGGTGTTGCTGGCAACCACATCAGGAAGCTAGCCAGCACATCAATTTGGAAGTGTACCCCGATCAACAGCCACCTCACTTGTAATAGTCACTTCGATCGGAATATTATTTGGGTCAACTTCATGCTGTAATATTCAAACAAATAAAGGACAAATTAAGCTGTTAAAGATCTATATATGTAAACAAAAGACTATATGCGTATATATTTATTGGCAAGAGACACATCAAGCTGACAGTATATTCACGTCGTCGAAGTCTTTGACATTGAGAGGGTGGAAATTGGCCGGATAATAATGTAGTTTACCGGTGCCGATGTCAAATGGAAACTGCATGTATGCCATGTAATATTCATGCAATTATATCAAATTTTGGCACCTAGCTAGATACCGTATATCAAATATTTCTGTTTTCATTTGTAATGTGCGTGGAAGATGGAATTCACCAATCTATTCAAGCAGGAAAGTGTCGAAAGAAAAAAAAAAAAAATTCATTGATAGTGTGGGATTGATATTTAATCTCTCCATCATATTCACCGTTCAACTTAGAGAGAGAGAGAGAGAGAGAGAGAGAGAGAGAGAGAGAGAGAGAGAGAGAGAGAGAGAGAGAGAGAGAGTTCTGCATGATTCATGCAGGTAATAAAATATGAGCAATTCACCCAATTAACAATTATGCATGCCTTTGGTATGGGAATGGACAAAATTTGTAATCTTGGGCATATTTGATAAGGTAACTAGAATATGCTTGGGAATATATTTCTCGAGTCTCAAGTGATGGTGATCTCACCAGTCCAACTCTATTTATTATTGTTAGATAATTTTAAATTTCGAGATATATGTAATGAATAGACATAAATTTTAAAATTTAAATTCATTAATAAATAGGATCATAAGCACTACATCATTTGAGGATGGTAAGCAAAAATACCGCTGAATATATGCTCAATATCCTCTTACAAACCAGAAAACGACTTTAGCATTGATTGCTTAATTCTTACCATTCTAATTTAATAAACAGCAAGAGGCACTTGGCCTTGGATTCCCTGAAGGGACGCGCTCTCTCTCTCTCTCTCTCTCTCTCTCTTCTTTTCCTTTGACTTATCCTCCACAACTCACATTCCAATTCCAAGCATCCATACCATATTCCATGCCCATTTTCTAGAATACCTTTGAAGATGTTCCTAAACGGATCAATATTTCTTTTGCGTGCTTGAAAATACAAATAAATCTTGTACTTGGAAACATCTAAAATGTGGCTTTATGTCGGTCATGCTAAAAGACTTCTAGGGTTTTTGTTGTTCCTTTGAAAATTTTAATCACTCAAGAAAGATCAAGCGTTGCTTGAGTGAATTCGAGTGTGGTTATAATCTAACAAAAACTAGGGTTTTAGTTTTCCAAATCCCACAACACGAAACAGGTCAATGGACGATGACGTTTATTTGTGTCTTTTGGCTCTAAATACACAAATAATTTTGTCACTAAAGATCGAGTTGTTTATTTTCTTTATTTGCTGTGTTGTCATTGATTGTAAGGCACAAGTTTGCTTTTTGTGTCAATATGTTAAGGCATGCTAAGTTCATCTGCTCTGCAAAGACCCCTTTAAATCCTAAAATAATACACGACCTTGAGCAAAAAATAAAAAAAATAAAGAAGAACATGAAAGCTTCATCGACATCTGATCAGAAACCCGAGACTTTTAGACAGACGTGACCTTCGATATAAATTATTGTCCCACATCAAACCGCATATACGACTTCCCATCTGTGATCGAGCTGTGAATTATTTGTATGCCAGTTATGTTATGAAAAATATGAGGCCCCACATGAACCAATTAGCCTGTATTAATAAATCTGACCCAATTATCTAATCCGATCTAGTCTTTCTTAATTCATATGATGGAATCTTCGACAAGGCAAGATTCTTGAGGATCAGAATACCCTCCTGATTGGTACTTCTCCAGAAAGATAAGTTTAATTAAAAAGTGGAGAAGCAAATTTCATATTCTATAAATATATCAAAACTATTTAAATTAAAATTAATGTGCCTAAGTCACTTAGTCTTATGGTATAATGTATTCCTCTTCGTTTGTAAATGAAATGTCTTAAATCAAGTTCTCGTTAAATACGAATTTAAACCAAATTAACATGACTATCCTATTGTGAGACTCAATCTGCTCCACAATAGGTTTTGTCCATAATACAATGGAATATCCGAGTGTGAACCACCATAGTGGTGTGGTTCCGTATTTATTTTGTTTTCTTGTATACAAAACAATTGATTCGCAATGAAAGTAGCTCCAAGTACACCTTGTCTTCGGTGTTTTTTTGTATTGGCACACACAAAAAATGATAAACATTTTCGGGGGCCTAGCTAGTCGTACATGCATTCCTAAATCCGCCACGTTTTTATAAAGGAAGATAGCCACCGCCGGTGCTTATGTGCCATGCCATGCACGTATTTAATAATTGGAAATCTTGTTTTCGATCCGTTTATTCTCTCTTTGTTTATATACAGAAGATCTTAAAGGTGATGACGAGATTTAAGTCGATGTCTTATTGTGGATGTGAACATTGTGAGTAATTATGTTGTCATTAAGCTAATCTAAATGGGTGTTTAGAATTATCACGCCTTAATTTGTAGGAAAGGTTTTGGTGATCTGTACAAAGTATAGGTCAAATATTAAGGACAGGATCTAGAAATTAGAGATTTGCATTATCGTTCATCTTATTGAGTGACATATGCCCTAATGAAATTATTGACCCTTCATGATTTTCTGAAACTTATCCTTAACCATTGGAATTTGGAACAGTCAAATACATGTTACAATTTCTTGAAAGAGGATCCTCTTTGGATTCACTTTGTGAGGATCTTAGAGATTTCCACATCCTAATCATCTTATATATCGTACAGTTAATTTTTATCAGATACTGTTTATATTTAATTTTAAATAAAAAAAAGTCAAATGATTTTTAACCGCATGATACACGATGAATGACTAAGATATGGGATCCTCCAAATAGGATCCAATTCCCAAGTTCTTTTCAAATGATCAGCATAACTTGTATTCAAAGGATTTACATCTTTTAATAAAAGGTATACTGGTTGCGGAGCTTATTAAAATCGAACTTGAATGACCTCAATTTTTTTTTTTTTTTTTCACTGACAGAGCATTTTTGCAAAAAATCATTTAAATCCGAAACTATTTACTCATAGAATTGGAAAGATGAAATTTTAATGTTTCTTAAACATAATGTTCGTTAATTTATTTGAACTCAATTAGATCTCTCAAACATTTCCGATTTGGCTAATACTTGCAAGGATAATCCATAAAGTGCAACATGAAAGTAGATTGTTCAGATCATTGAAATTTGATATGAAATAAGTCATACAAACTAGTTCTTATCGAAACACGGGGTGGACCCTACGTGACTTGTTGATATGTCACCGTCTCCCTAATAATTTTTCCGTCCTGAAAAGTTATCCAGATCTAGCTTCCTAGAACCCAATCCATAACTCAAACTTGATATGTGGTGGATTTATTAGAAAACATTATACATATGTGAACACATGTGTTCCATGCACATCCACCAAACTATTAAGTTTCATCATTATTTTTGTTCCTTGGTGCGAAGGAACAAGCAACAATCGCATGAGGCCCAGTCTCCACGCAACCACATTTTCTATGATTAATTTGTGGGCAACAATGGCCGAACAGAAGAGATTTGAGTAGATCTGCAACATCTGTGATTTTCCTTACTTTCTTGGGTAGGAAGATTTCTCGTGGGTCAAGATTCCTGCATTGCCATTTTTATATTTTTTTGGTAGACTTTGACGCAAAGAAGAATACTATTCCACTTCCTCTTTTTCATTTTTCAATAAAGCTGTAACTCCCTCCCCAAGTCATATATACCTTTCACCAAACCTTAGCCAGTTGGACAAATTCAGATGTGGAAAATTAGCCACTAGTAAAAGTAACTCACAAATGAAGTAATTATCACGTAAACGACACGTTAAGTTCGCAAAATGCGTTATTATTACGTGATGAAACCTAACTCTGATATCAATTGTTAAAAATCAATAAATTGAATTTGCCTTTAACAACCGACTTTAAACATATGATGCGAAAGATTTTTAAATCATGTCAAGATAACTATTTTTACAATATATATTGTCCTCACATCTAGATAATTCGAACATAAAATCACCTCCAAACTCGTACATATTCATTACACTTTCGTATTCAACGTCAGCTGAAAAACATCTGTAGGATATAACAAACAATATTACATTAACATTATTTTTGGTCTTGCTTCCAAATTCTGTATATAACTTATTCAAATTCAAAACTTCTACTGTCACTGTCCCTCGTATCCAACACCTCTACATCTTCATACTTCGTAAACAACAGGAGGGAACAACAAAACAGGGTAAGAAACAAAGGTCAGAATGATGGGTGTGGTGGTAAATCAGAAACGACTTTCTACAATGCTGGTTACAAAAATTTTACACCATTCTCACAAATTTAAAACGCAGGGGATATATGGGTGTGAGTGGAGGATGACGTAGCGGTCGAATTGGAGTGACCGCGGCCTTCGCTGTGGCTGACCCTTTCGTCTGAATGAGAGGGTTCCGGTTGCTTTAGCCGCAGTCTTTGGACTGGTGGTGAGACCTGTGTGACAGCAGGAGTTGAAGCCACAGGTGCATATATTCCATTATTGGCTGCCTCCCCGGAAGCAGTGGTTGCTGCCACTGCTGCGTAGTCCTGGGGTGGCACCCAAATGCCTCCCACAACCACAAATTGCGGTGCGTGTGCGGCGTTGTTGTTGCTGCGCATTGTTGGAGTCGGCCTTCTAGTGTGCAAACGATATTTCTGCAAACAACGAAAGACGATCGAAATTATGCTCTGCAGAATCAGCTAAATGAAAATTCACAATTTATTGTTGATCGGACAAGACAATGCATGCTTCTTATGTGCCTATGTTTTAAAGGACATCGACTCTTGCTTGCACATAGAGAGGCACCTTTAGTGATGAATTAAAACAGATAGATAATCACATATACAAACCTGCAAATGGCTTTTGACTTCATCATTAGTAAGTCCATCAACCTTCATTAACTCTCTAATTTGTTTGGGTGTAGCAGCTGCAAGAAAAAACCACATCAAACACACATCCAATACAATCCAATCCAACATGCATCCAATCATATTAAATAACATATCCAATTAAATTAATCTCAATTCCATACCATGTGAACCACCAAGCTGTTGAAGAGCATTTAAGAACCGGCGGTGCAACTCCGGCGACCAGTTCCGCCTTTGTTTCCTCTGACCCTGTCCATCTTTCTCTTCTTTCTTGTTGTTCTCACCACTGCTTCCGCTCACGGTGTCCGTGGTGGAACTAGTCGCCGCAGCCGAGGAAGGTTGTTTAGCCACCGGTCCATTAGTCTTCCCAATGCTTTTCTCCTTTTGGAAAGGCTGAAAAGCACCCCCATTTCTATTTACCTCCATAACTAACGCCTTCCTAGGCAATTCCTGCAATGACCCAACACCCCAAAAATCATTACTTTCCTACTCTTTCACCTCAAATTTTCTCGGCAACCAAACAAAAGGGCAGTCACAAAATTCACCAAAGTTGATAAAGGTAAAAGTCTTTTTTGTACCTCCTTGAGTGGTGCATCTGGGGTTGTATTCCAAAGCTGTACAGATCTAAGCCAGTCTGATTTTTTCTTATCACCTCCTGCAATCTTATCATCCTTCTCATTGTCCTTAGCCTCCTGAGACTCGTGCACTTCATCGTCCTCACTATCAGAAGATGAAGTCCTTTTTAATGGAATAAATTCCTCAAAAACATGCCCCTCACTCGAAGTCTGCTGAGAACACTCAGATTGTCCATGCATATAATCTGCGGTTGTATCTGAAACCTGCTGCTTACACCTCTCAATAGCTGCAAAAATACCCAGAAAAACCCAAATCGGAAAATAAAAACCAGAACAAACCCACAAAAATTCAAGCAAAAGAAACGAACTTTCCGACCTAGAACACAAAAATTAAGCTAAAATTTGAAAAGGGTCTGTGTAGTCTGCAGTACCATGGGTGACAAGCTCGTAGCAGAGAGGGAGCTCTCTCTTAAAAACTTGAATCTTATGCATCTCCTCCTCCAAAGCCTTGACATACTCACGGAAACCTAACTTTGAAGAAGCCTGCATTTCCTCTGTGGACTCCATAGCTGAAAAGCTTTTGCTTTTGCTTTTATCTTTTGGGTTTCTGGGTTCTTCAGATCCTCTGTCTTTATCTGGTCCTTTCCGTGGACTCAGAAATGGGGGTTGAGAATGTAGGATGGGTGAGATTATAAGGGAGCAGGTGGGTGTGCGGTTGCGGGTGTCCAGAGCATAGATAGAAACGAACAAGGAGAATTGGGGCAAATGAGAGCTTCTTCTCAGAGACGCATATGGGATCTGAGCAGAATCAGAAAACGGAATAATCCACAAATTAGACTTAGAAACCCAAAAAAAGGAAAAAAAAGATTGAATTTTTAAGGGAATTTAGAGAGAGAGAGAGAGAGAGAGAGAGATGTCGAGGTCGTGCCGTCGCGTACAACGAATCTGTCGGAGGTTGAATATTCGGTGGTATTCGCATTTGATTCGATTTTCTATGCCTATCCTATGGGCTGGCGCTGATGTCACCGCCCTTGGCACCTAATTTTCTTTTTTTGGTGCCGAGAGCGTGCTTCACAGGCGTTCCCACGACGCGTGTGATTAGGCGTCAGTGGCTGTGGCCTTTCACGTCCTCTGAGGGCCAACTGCTTTCCGTCCCCATCCACACTGCCGTCTATTCACGCTAGGTTTCATCATTACTACATCCACGCTCTTCCGTCGGTCGCTGACCAATAAGATTCTGACACGCTCATATTCTCAGACGGATCGAGAATATGCATCCCGGGATTCTGGATGGGCGGCGATTCCATGGAGCTGTGCGTTCAGATTCTACGGACGGCTTGGTATTTGCTTGGGTTCGGAATAAAATGGATCCTCACAAATAGGCCCACTAAACTTCGTTGTGAAAATAATTGTACCGTGGTTCTCAAAAATCTATGACTTATGTTGCATTACTGGTTCATTTTGTTAAGTTCGTCAATTTTTCTATTAAAATAGTGGCAAATGTGAAATTTTGGTTAAAAATTCGCTTAAGCCCAATTGATATGGCTCTCTAGTCCCAACATTAACAGCTGAGTAAGTACTTTTTTGTTTTTGGCTAAACTTTGATTCTTAAATTGTTTCCAACTAATGATATCCTTACTTAAAACACAAGGGAATTCGAATTTAAAGAAGGGAAAGAAGTAATGGGAACGCAATATGAATTCTTAATTTTTCAGGCATTGGGTTACAAATTTTTCTGGAAAATTTCGTTTTCTAGTGAACACATGAGATATTAGGAACTCGAATACCCATTTTTTAGTGAACACATGAATTCAAGAATTAGAATAATTCAATACTCAATATATATATATATATATATATAAAAGTAAACATGCCATAAAATTATTAAATATTAAAATAATTACTCTAAAATATTCATTTTACACTTAATTAATAAATTGATTCTATTCAGTTTGGTAATAATGGAATGAGTCACATAAACACACAAGACTTTTTCTCTCTTAGTGGGCTTCAAAACCCAGATCTAGAAGAAACACTACCCCAGTTTCAAGTTTCAACCGCCACCCCTTGCTCTTGCTTGGGGTAAGCGGCAACTCGCTACTCCTCATTTTCCTCCTCATTCCTTCCTTTCTCCTTTGCCCTTGCCCTCTTTCCTTCCATCTCATCTCCTCCGCCCCCTTTCCCTCCCTGCATCTTACGTTCTCTTCCTTCCTCCTTTCCAATCTTCTTTCTTTTTTTTTCAAAATTCTTGGTTCTCCCCCGAGTTTTATCTTAGCTTTCTTTGAGCCGGGTCTCAACTATCCCATGAGCTTGTCTCAAATTTAGGCTTCATGCCCTTATCAAGCGTTTTTCGCCTGCTTTATTTCTTTATGTCTTTTAATTTTCCTTCATCACTCATCTTTAGCTGTGGTATTACATCCCCACCCCACAAGTGCTCGAATTGGTAAACTCTGATCAGAAATTGGATATTGAATCCACTTCCCTCCCTTACTTCCCCTCCCTCAACCTACATGTTAGATCCTCGTTGAGGCTAAGTGTTAGGTATTTTACATACCCCTTAGTCTCACTTTCTACCTATAAGATACTTTGTTTGTATATATTGTAGGGGTTTGTGAAGGAGACTTGGATCTGATGTCTACTTTCTCGATTCGGAGTTTGGCTTCCTCCAAAGATATGACGACAACATTGGTCTGGTTTATGCTGTTGGAGATTAGGTTTTTGTTGTTTGTTTTGTAGACTTCGGATCTAAGCTTGTGTGGGCCTCTCGTTGTATCTTAGGTTGCATCTCTTATTTTGTTTGAGCTTTTTAGTTTACCCGTTGCTGTTTACCTGGTTCTTTTCAATCCTTGTACTAGTTTTAAATGTAATGGAAATTTTCTTGCTTGAAAAAAAAAAAAGTTGTTTGGTTGTAGCCTCAAAAGTGCTTAAAGTTGCCAAGCCATGTGACCAACGTGAATGATTTTGATCCTGTGGGGCATTAAATCTGGAAAACTTTAACGAAAAGTTCATGGTACTATTCACTTTAACGAAAAACCACATTTTTACATTAAAAAGTCAATCCTGGCACTATTCATTTTACCATTTATTTTGTCTTTATAGTTAAAAACTCAAAGTTTTCAAGTTTTTTTAATTAGTTTTCATTTAAATCTAACCAAATCAGCAAGTACAAAAGTAACCAAACTTTTTCTTTCCGTCAGTGTTGATGTTGAAGAACAATGGGCTAAGCTTTTATTGTATGCCACAAGTTTATAAATGGAACCCCCAAAACGGGCCTGCCCAAATACAAAAGAATCTCATCAGCCCCAACATAACACTTGGTGTTGGGTGCTTTTATTAGAAATAAAACCCTATCCAGGGCCCATATACTAACACATCCATTTGTTGATGCTCCAGCGTTCATGAACCCTTTTGTTCAAATTCTCATATTTGAGATCCCAAAGTAGGAAAGATTTTTCAAATGTGTGGTACGCCATATATTATTATACAAGTTGAGAAAAATTTATTTTTAAGCGTCTCTCCATTTGTATAATGACATGGCGTATGATCCGTGTTCCAGACAAACTAAAAAATCTCTCCCAAAGTAGTGTGAGTTATGACCTATTATATTCTTTGCCCCAATGCACAAGAATTAATATTCAGACTTATATGTGAAATGTTATTAGGCCTTTTTTCTTTAAGAACACATAAGAGATTAATTATACTTTGATGATTGGATACGATTTTTTTTTTTTAAATAAAAGATATTATCTACACTAAGAGGAGAGGGTGGACTAAGCCTCACAATGGATTATCAATAATGTGGTTCAACCACTAGACCATAGTACTATGTGGCTGCATACGATTTTTTTTAGAATGTTAATAACAACTCCAAATTTATAAACATTGACTCAAATTTAAGTTTGAGATCAAGGTCACATTTGTCTTTTGATATAAATCCAGAATTTAGGTCTTAGCATTGGAAATGACCTTAGTAATGAAAATTTTATTATCAAGTTATAAACATTAAATTAAGTTTGGTATGAACTTACAAATGACTTGTAGCTCAATTCATTAAGTGCACTCATCATTATAGTGAGTTTTCATGTTCGATTCCTACCTCCTATATTGCTTGTATTAAAAACACACACACAAGGTTTCTTTTTATTTGTTTTCACTCTCCACAAAATAAGTTTTTACTGATCAGAAATTTCAAATTTAAACATAAACAGTAATTACACAGGCGGAAGCACATAGAGATCCCTGTGTGGGGTGGAGTCAAAAATCAAATCTTAACGTGTGAAAGGGTGAGCTGGGAATGGGACTGGGACTGGGACTTGAACAGTAGTTAATATTACAGGGAGGGAGAGAAAAGGGGGAGGGTGGGAGCTCATCGCTCAGCTGCGGACCGTGACAAATCAATGGGGGCGGCTATGAAGTCTGATGAGATGGGCACTGTTGGCTTTCCCCAGCTTCCTTTTTAGACAAGACGAAGGTTTTGGAAATTTTTACTTTGTCTTTCCTGCGTTCCTAGTCTCACATACACAAATTTTGCAATGCAGTGACATGCGTGACCAACAGCTTTGTCTTTTTAACTCCTTAATTAGCAGATGTCATTCAACAACAATCCTAGGGACTGCATCCACTATTATATATACATATGATAAGGAGTCTCTTTTAAAGTGAGACTCTCTATGAACTTCCTTAATACCTTATGTTAACATCAATTTTTGTGCCAATAATATAAAACATTGTGCCAAAAACATGAGGTGACCGAGAGTAAATAGAGAGTCCCACTTTTGAGAGTCTTGTTAGCATTCATTATATACATACACCCCATCCAATATATATACACAACATTTAATACTACACGAATTTTAATTATTCACTCTATGTTTTGATTAGTTGCACTATGCGTTAGGAGAGATTCTCTTATGTAATTAGTTTGCTGAGTGGCATTTTTTTATTGGATGGATTGTGCCAGCTTTTGATGGCAGTAATTATTGAATAATGATGCCACTAAAAATAAAACTTGTTTGCATGAGACAATCTCTCTCGATCTAGGATAGATCATTCATGACTGTTTGGAGACAAATGTTGTTTTGCCTTATGCTCTATTTCAACCATATATATAATTAATATAAGTATCTTTCTAAACTCACTGCTGCTAAGGTATTTAAGAAATTATAAGAGATATACAACTTAAGTGGTTAAGAGCGTAATTGTACCCATGAAGTAATGGGTTTAAAACTACAGTTCCTTCTGTATATAAAACGGGTATCTATAAGAGTGTATTTGCAATAGCATATTATAGACTTAATAGTTAGTCAAAATCCATTTTGTACTAATCTTGTTAAATCATAAGGCAAAACGGCAAAGATTAAAAGTGGTACAGCAACTGTCTGTAATTCGAATCGAACCCACATGCAGGCACTTGACCTTTGTCTCAGAGAAGTATCTGATGAGCCATCAATTAATCACTAAAACAAAGTTCATGTTCAAAAGCAGCACCATGCATATAATAATAGTGATCTTTATTTATAAAATTTATTTAGCTAGACTCCTACGCTTAGCAAACTACCATTCTCTCTCTATCAGCTGCTAGCCATGCATGCGTGCATGTTTTCGAGCACACTAGTTTTGTCAATTGATTAGTCATCTCATGATCATGGATCCACCGATCCAGTGCTAGTGGATTTCTTAAACCTGATAAGAAACTTAAAAGTGGATCTATTGGGAAACCTATACTGTTTTTACCAGTCCTTTTTTGGTAGTCCATTGCCGTGGGGTTATGTGAATGGGATTGATGGAGCGCTTCAGGAAGAAGCACGACAATGGACTCTGTCAACTTACAATTTAACGTTAATTATCATATCAACATTATAAAATATTATATTAAAAACATAAAGTAATTTTATAATAAAGATATTATGTCAAAAATATGAGTGCAGTATTGTAGTAGAGAGTCGTATATTTGAAAGTCTCTCCTAAGCATTTCTCTTGTTTTATCTTTTTCCTTTGTATCAATTTCTATCATGTCTGAAGATTGATGGGATGGTTTGAATTACAATCCATCTACATTTCCTGTTTTGGGCGGTATCCAGTCAAACTATGTCACTGCTGCTGCACCAATCGTTTAGGTTGGCCGTTCATTGTTCATCTAGAAAACAGATACATATGTGGTACAGCAACGTATAAGGTCAGCCCATAATTATTTTGTTTTTAATTTTTATTTTGCTCTACAAATAAAAGATAAGTAAATGTGAAATAGAGTAATGGGAAAGGATAACGGGAGAGATTGTGGGAAAGAAGAGGAAAAAATGTGGAAACTATATATGGAAAAAAAAAAAAAAAACGTTGGAAGTGAAAATTACATAAACTTGATTTTGGGTTTTTGATTTTTAATCTTCATATCATTTTATACACAGTTTTTTCCACCATCCATCCTCCATCCTTATTCCAATGTACACCATTTTATTCCTCATTCTTCCCACACTCTTTGTTTTCTTTTTTAAAAAAAATTACAATACAAAAATAAAACACTAAAAATTAAAAGCGAAATGTTTATCAAATTCACCTTAAATAATTTGTAGGAAAATTAATGGGGTGTTGTCAAAAGTGAACATAGCTTTTTAAAATTAGCTAGCTAGCATGCATGTTGGAATGAGAAACAAACTGTTGACACATTGAGTTTGGAGGTGCCAAGACAAAAGAATTGTCTCATATATCTTCACTTTCTGTTGAACATTGAGATTTTGCACATATATGTACCACGATGGCACTTGTGCATGGATTTTGTCTGAGATTCTAATTGAAAAACTATAGAACATAAGCAGTAGTATTAATAGTTGAATGAAATGTTACTTTTAAGCAGCTGGGTAGGGTGTAAAGTGAGCTCTCTTTACTTACAGTGCAGGTGGCTTGCCCTTATAGAAAAACAGTACCACCCATGCCAGTTCTTGTGCATTTCATTTTTTCAAATTTTATTTCATATATATACACTTCAAAAGCAAAAAGTAAAATTTGAAAATTAAAATGGCAATGTCCCTTTCCAGTTTCCACCAAAATTAATAATATTCGTATTATTTGGCACCATCACTGATTCACTATCACTATCACCATGTCTTTTAATAACAAAAATTGGGGAGATAAACTCACGCCTGCCAGTCTACAGTTCTCCATGGCCTCCACATACTGTATGCCAATATATGCGTGCATGTCCATAGATTCATCTTTTTAACTCTCTGTATCCCTCTCTACTTTTGGAAGAGATAAAGAGAGAGAGTATATAGGGGCAGAAGATGAATAAAATAACAGGTTACAAAGATTATATTTTGAAAATAAAAAAAATATGAAAGTTGATGTTTGGTTTATTACTTAAAGGTTGATAAAAATGTTTATTTTTATTGGTAACACATCATTTAGTTTCTAAATTTTATCTCCAAATTTAATCTTTTTTACACTATTCTAAAATAAATATATATATATATAGAGAGAGAGAGAGAGAGAGAGAGAGAGAGAGAGAGAGAGGGGCAGAAAATATTAGAGAGGGCTAAGCCAAGGACTCGGGAATCCAGCATTAATTAGGGTTTTGGAGAAAAGCGAGGAAGAAAAAGTAAGGAGTGGTGGTGTTTTTGTGTTGGTAATAATTTTAAGAACGCTATCCTCAATGCATTTTGAATTCTTTGCCACTGCCACTACTCTCCTCCGGTTTTTGTCTCCTCCATTCCCAAACACGCCAAAACCCAAACATCTCATCTCATATTGTTTGCTTCCTTCTCCTTTCCAATCCAATCCAGTCCACGTTCAACTTGCAGACCCCTCCCCTCTCACTCTCTCGATTTATTTTCCAGTATGCATGTACCATCTTTGCGTAGTGTTATAATTCAAATCAAATTGTAAAACGTTAAAAATAGACATCTCGACATGTTGACCACTTATACATAAAAAAATACATCACGTGACAAGTGTTTTAGATATACAGAAAATTTTATCCTCTTTCACTCCAACTTTACCTTCCAATGTCACTAACAACAGGCCGCTCACTGATAAATTTGAAATTGGTAAAGATCCTGCGCCTGAAATATAGTGAAATCCATGGATCCCACAACACAAAAGAACCAAGTACCCCCCAATATATAACATAATAAACATTCATTTCTTTATTTATTGCCTTTCTGCCTTTCTCTCTAGTCCCCACTTACCTTCTCCACCAACAGCCCAAAATCTCACTCCTCTCTCTCTCTCTCTCTCTCTCTCTCTCTCTCTCTCTCTCTCTCTCTCTCTCTCTCATATAAACAAATAAACCAAATCACCACCACCATGCAAACTCCCTTCACTAGTACTACTATAGATGAAGATTTTCAAGATGAGGGCTCCATTTTTCTCTCTCTTGGCCCTCCTGGACAGGATAATCATGTCCCCAAACAGTACCACCTCATCTACCACCACCAGTCTGCTTCCTCAACTCAGCCTGATCACCACCAAACTTTTTATCATGATTATCCAAACCCTAATCCTGATACTGAGGACGGCACTATCACTGTAGCTCTTAACATTGAGCCACCGACTAGTGGAGGCGGTAGGCCAAGCTCATCGTTCATCAGCAACCCTAACCACAGCCACATTGGCGGTCCTGTGGAAGGGCAGTACTGGATTCCCTCCCCTGCACAAATCCTCGTAGGCCCCACCCAGTTCTCTTGCCCTGTCTGCAGCAAAACATTCAACAGATACAACAACATGCAGGTAGTCCTCATCATCAGCATAATTATTAACACACAAATCAATACCACTACTATTAAGTAATTACTAATAATGGCTGTTATCTAATTTTAGCAATTGGTTTCTCTACAGAAAACATTCCTCATGATTTTTACCGTTCTAGGAACACAGTTTTACAAAACTTGCATTACAGTTTGTTTATTTCTCCTCTCTTTTTCAATTTTTTCCACTCCAAAATCACAAATTATAAGTGGAATCATAGTTATACTGCCCAATTACAGATTTTTAATTTTATGCAACACTTGTGTTACAATTTGTTTATTGCCGTTTATTTCTGCTCCCAAATTGTCATCTTGCATTCAAAATCACAAAAAAAGAGTGGAATCATCAATCGAACATCTTTTACCCTAATCTATGTATTTTGTTTAGTTTGTGTTTACCCTCTAATTATTTGTATGTAGATGCATATGTGGGGGCATGGATCACAGTACAGGAAGGGACCAGAATCCTTAAGAGGGACAAAGCCAGCATCCTCAGTGCTGAGACTTCCATGCTATTGCTGCGCAGAGGGGTGCAAGAACAACATAGAACACCCAAGGTCAAGGCCACTTAAGGACTTCCGGACACTGCAGACACATTACAAGAGAAAGCATGGGACGAAGCCGTTTGGGTGCCGCAAGTGTGGGAAGCCGTTTGCAGTGAGAGGCGATTGGAGGACTCACGAGAAGAACTGCGGGAAGCTCTGGTTTTGCATTTGTGGGTCGGATTTCAAGCACAAGAGATCGCTCAAAGACCACGTTCGTGGGTTTGGTGATGGACATGCACCTTATGCTGTGGAGCTGTGTACTGAGCCTGAGGAAGAAGATCACATGGATGACGAGGATGACGATAACAATGAAGATGATTTGGTTATTAATTAGTTAATACACAGTTACTTGAAGTTTAACTTTATGGATTAGCTAGCTAGCTAGGTATAATAAGTAATTAGGGTTTTGGTTAGTAGTGAGTGATGGGACTGTGACTGTCTCTTATGTTTCATTTATGTCTTTTTCTTGATTGTGAGAGAGTGCGGGAGTGAGAAGATGAAGACAACAAACAAGACAATGAAAAGCCAAGGTTGTATGCATTTAATGTTGGAAGTGGCAGTTCAATCCTTCAATTAAAGTACGTACCTTTTCTGATACATAATATATTTTTATCTTTTGTTAAATGAATACATGTTGAGAGAGAGAGAGAGAGAGAGAGAGAGAGAGAGAGAGAGAGAGAGAGAGGGAGGGAGGGAAAGTGGTCAAGTAAATTCAGTGACTACAGAACACAGAGAAGAGGGCAGATAAATGTGCAGTGGAGTCACAGATTGCACTGTTCATATCATTTACATTTGGAGAGATAGCTATTAGCTAGCGAAAACAAAATACTAAAAAAATATACTAACACTTGGATCGAACGACCAATGAGTCCGTCCATATATTTTATATTCTGAGTGAGGGGAAAGTTTCTGGGACCACTGAAAAATTACTGTATTTGGGGTTTCACTCAAGGGTTTTCCTTTTTCCTTTTCAGAACAACTACAAACAGGTACTACTAAACGTTTTCAGACTTCTGTGGCTGTGAGCTTTGCCCTTTAACCCTATCTATCAATTTTCTGCATGCATAAATGGGCCCTTTTACCTCCGTCTCCCAGTTATGTATTTATGACCCTTTTTTCCTTCGTCTTTTTCCCAGCTCATCCTTTCTTGGCTTTTTTTTCTTTCCTTTTTAGCTTTTATATGTCATATATGTGTGCAGCAGCTGCCATACAACTCCAAAGCACGCATGTGCATGACGAGATTGTTAATTTAGTCGGCTTCTAATCTGCTAATTAATTAATTTATGTCCGTGTGCAGCTTGTGTGAATGATAGCGCGTTGCTTTTAATATTGCTTGCATGCAATATTTAGTTCTTCTTAAACGTTTTTATGTCTGCAAACATCGACCTTGGAAAACGAGGCCTTCCATCAAATTCATAATACTGCCATTAGCTAAAAGACTCGAACGACTTGTACAGCAGTTTATGCAATTTTCTGGTGGTTATATATAGCTAGATTGTTATATTATATACATACACACATACGTATATAATTTAAAATAATCGTGTATATTTTCTGAAAGTTAAAAGTAAAATTGAAAGAGAAAAGAGAGGAAGCTTTCCCAGCTGGTTTCAGTTGTTTTATGCAATAAACAGCAGATTCTGGGTCAAAAAGATTTTCTGGGCAAGCAAAAAAAGACTGGTTTGGTTGACTACTTTGGAAAAAATAATGGGGACTCTCATATGGCCAAGTACAAAAAGTGATGGTTGATACATCATACATGTATATAACAGCCTGAGGACCTGAGGGCTTGCTAGCTTGTGATATATCAGATGTAATTAGATGCGCATGCAAACATAAATAAGAAGAGGCAGAGGATCGTCCGGATGCTGAGCAATAAGATCTAATTCAGGCTAATTTCATTGATTTTGTTAGTTGGATACTTGAATTACATGTCTGCCAAGTTCACTGGACATAAAACCCAAACGTACAAGATCCATGTGATTTGTACAGACACAGTGCAAGTCACTGGTCGAATTTACTCAAAAGACCAATAATTTACAAGATAAGATCGACGTGTAGATTCGATGCCCTAGTAACTAGACGTTGAGAATGAATCCCATATCGATGGGAGGATAGACCTTTGATGAGCTTAAGTAAGTTCGGTTATTTTCTATATTGTCAACTAGTTTTATAGTAGAACTCTAACTTTTTTCACTAGATGGTGTCCCCAAACCGTTTATTCCATCAAGCGAATGAACACTCAAAAGTGTGATTTCTTCTTGAATTGTAACGTTTAGTGAACTAAAAAGTTAAAAATGACACAACTGGAAACATAAGGACAACAGGAGAATTTGAAGTCAACTACAGAAACCAACAGTTAAATTAGCCTCCTTTTATAGTTGTTGACCGTTTAGATGGGTATAAAAGGCAAGAAGAAGCTGCAGGACCACTAGGGCAGCCCAATTGAATCAATGCAGTATTAGTTTTCCAATGGATGGACCGACCCATATGCATATGTCTGCAATTCTTGGGTCTAAGTGACATTGCCAATTAAACCCAACCCAGTATCCGGTCCTTAGCCTTACTTGGCCCACTTTCATAGAGCGGAAGGTCATAAGCGTTTATACCGCAAAATAGATTTTCAACGGAATGAAAAAGACATATATGGTAGAATCGTAACTATAGAATACGACCCTAATCAAAATGCATACATTTGTCTCATACATTATAGGGATGGTGAGAAAAGATATATTTTACACCATGTGGATGACCAATTTGTTCAACAAGCAGCCTCTTGGCTCCTCAATCCCTTCATGATTTTCAGTGGAACTGTTTTTAGAATAACTGAAAGCATTTCATGTAAAAATATTTTTGGAACCAATATTTAGTAAAAATGTAAGTGATCTTCAAACCCAAAAATATTTTCTCTAAAAACGTTTTTAGTTATTTTAAAAGTACTTTCAAATGAGCCATCGTTCTGTTACTTTTTTTGTGAATCTAGAAAAAAATGTAAAATATTCCGCTTGAATTGTAAATGAAAAATATTCTCACGAACACCGGCTTATTTTTTTTACAGTTGAGTTTAATAAATCAAAAGATAATTAAAGAACATAGATAAACATGTGCAATAGAAAAAAAAAGTGTCTGAAAGTTATTAGTTGAATACATACTCAGAAATGCTTTTCGTTAAAGTGTCTGAAAATTAAAGAACAGTACCGGGAACTTCTCTTAAACTAATATAGGATTACAAAACATAAACACTATCGATAGGGGAAAAAAGGTAAATAAAGAGTGAAAAAACAAGACAAGGTGAAAAACGAGGTTGGTAAGGACAACGTGAGATTGCAGCAGAAAGTCCACCGCCACTAACTGTCCTCTGCTTCCTTTTTGTGGCGAATTCCACAACCACCGTGGTTGATCAGTTGGTAAAGTTTTTGACGGTGGCACTGGGCTCAGTGGCCTTAGCGGCCGCAGACGGCTCGACACTGGGAGACGGAGCGACCGGCTTCCCGGTAAGCTCAACCGGCAAATCCTTAATGCCCTTCAAATAAAACGTGTAAAACAGCTTGATGGGAAACACAATCTGCTTCACCTTGACTTGTCCGTACACTCCCTCGAAGATCCCAGATCCACCGGTCACGGCCATGTACGTGTCCTCGTACGTCAGATAAGCTCCCTGAACTGAAATGTGGCCGTAGTCTCCGAAGTAGAAGCTGTAGATTGCCTCGTACCTGTCTCCTTTCTTCTCGGGAAAGTTTTGGATCAAAACGCACAGGCCTGCTGTGATTCCAAGACGTTTTTCCAGGTCGCCGGAGTAGATCTTGTTGCTGAAGGGGACAAGATCGCCGAGGGAGTTGACTTCTTTCTTGCTCAGTCTTAGGTATGCTGGGCTGCCTCTGTCCCTCTCGTTGATCTCGTACACATTCAGTTCTTGAACTTTTGCTGGAAAATTTCAAACGTAACCGATCAGTTGCTCACTTCTAAAATTAAGCTTTTCTACAACTCGTTCAAGAAGCACTTATGTTAATAATCACTTTTGCTGGAAGCGCTTTTATCATACAACGGCTGAATTTTTTTTTTTTGTCAAAAATCCAAGTACTAATTAGAAAAGAACTTGGAAATAGTTCTACAAGTCAAAAGCACTTTTGAGTTTTACTGCCAAATTAAGTCAAAAGCACAATTAGCACTTCCAAAATTCCAATCAAGCTAGTACACAACGTTTATGATTATTAGACAACGTTTTTAGCCGTTCGAGAAGCAGTCTCAGACGGTGACTAAGTTAAGAATTGATCGAAAGCAATTATACATAAAGACATCACAAATTAAATAAAAAAACCATGATCAGAAAATGGTAGCTGGAAAAGGTGCTTACTGGGTCGTGAAGAATCAGAGTCAGCTGGTTCCTTCTTCTTGCCGAAGAAAGCTGAGGTGGTGAAGTTTCTGGGGGTTGAGAGGGATTGCTTGGTTGATGCGGATTTAAGGGTTGGGAAGGAGCGAGAGAGATTGAAGCCCAACAGTCTTTGAGCTTGAGAAGATGAGGGAGGAGACCTGATCGAGTTGGAGAAATGGAGGGATGAGATCGCTTCAAGAGAGCCTGCAGACGCCATGGATGGCAGAGGAGATGCAGTCTCGGTCTCTGGAAGAGGAGCTGGATCGGAAAGTAAGTGGGAAAGTACTGGCAGTGACGAGGACAAATTAGAATATTGGTGAGGTGTTGGAAAATAAATAGTGAGATGGTGGGGGACTTTTATAGTATGATAGCTTTGTTTGAATAGTTCATCGATAGATGCTCTTCGGATTCTTTTTGGGAGTGATTTTGAAAATTCGTAAATTATGTCTTTTTATCATATATTATACAGTTAATTTTTATCAGATATTTTTTGTATTTAATTTTTAAATAAAAATATTTAAAATAATTTATGATCGTACGATGTACGATGAACGAATATGCTAGAATTCCGGATTCTAAGTTTATATAAGGTATTGAACACGTGGGCTTCTATTTTGTGTGACAAGTGGACGACGGTGCATGGTGTCGGCGGGTGCATTATTTGGTCGGAGAAACATATTTTGTGGCAATCCAACCAAGATTTTGTTTGCTCAAGCTTAAACCTATGACTTCTTTCTGGACGGAGTCCAAAACCCTAGTCTGTTTTTAACCTGAACACATTAACATATGCTCACAACTTGAAGAGAACTTTTGGTTAAAAACTTTCATGTCTTTTCCAAAAAAAAAAAAAATACTTTCATGTCATGTCACGGTTCTCACATGATACACACGAATGGGTACTTTTTTTTTATGTTAGTCTTCTTAAGGTAGATCTCTAACTTTTATTTGTTGCATTTGACAGAATCGAAGCCTTAACTTATCATATCATATGATCGTGACTTATTATCTCAGAGGCAGATTGTCTGCCCTCCTGATATGGTGCCCTCCCCATGTCCTTTTATTGTACGGTCACGGTTAAGCCACGTCAACATTTTATGTTCCTTTTGTTTTTTGTCTTATTATCTTTATAAAAAAAATCAATATAAAATATGGACGTGACTTAATTATGACCGCATAAAATAAGAGGACATCATATCAGAAGGGTAGACAATCTGTCTCCTATTATCC